AGGGATTACCTTGAGACTAAGGTCAATAACTCTCTCACCCTTTATCCTCTCTTGCCTCTACACATGATAAGAAACTCAGAATTATCATCGGGTTGTCGGCGGCATATCAAATGTGTTCAGTTGAGCTATGATTAGTATGATGACGTGAAACCGTCGAGCCTCAATACCCGTATCGAAACCATTCAAGCCTGATAAACCGCCGACGAGGAATTTCCCGTACCCGCATTTGGCCATAAATCCGGCCAAATCAATTTAGTAGCTTGACCAGTCTCTCAGAATACCAGGACAGTAGGCAAGGTTTCTGCTTGGCTAATTGCACATTTGTGTACGGTTAACGTGGTATTGGCAACCTGCACAGACGAAGGCAGTTTCAATTACCTTTTTCGCGCCGCAGGAAAATAGTGTTTACGAAATCAAGAGGAATGTAAATTTAGTGAAGTTAAAAAATTATGTGACACCTAGTCATGAAAGGGATGGGTCCAAATTTTTTTTTCTGAAAAAAGAAAATATCCCGCAATATCCTTATTTCTTTCAAACAAATTGACCCAAACCAAAAGATTCCACACGAGTGTAGTTCGTTTAGTTCTGGTATTTTATTCGGCGTATTGTGATTGGTTTGAAATATTTGATGTCACAGGAAAACATTTATCAAGGTTTCGCCGGAAACAGATTCTAGTGCTGGATTGAAACAACAGCCGGAAAACATGCCATGGGGTTTGAGTTTAGCAGCGATAACTGTATTGAGAGTCGAAACTCTCTTTTCTTCTCATGTCGAACGCATTAAATGAACAACTGTACGTATAGGTCCGCACGTTCGTTTTAGCAAAAACAAAACTGTTGTATTGTTTACTATCTGCAGGACTTATATCAAGTGCAGTAACAGGTGCTGTCTCGGGGGTTTTCAAATTTCCTGGTAAGTATGAAGCTGTAAGCTTTATTAGTAGTCACGAGGACTTCATAACTATTCAATTGCAGATACAGTCTCATAATCAAAAGGACCATGCCCATACACACAACCTAATACTGATCAAAGTGGCTGTGAGCAACTGAATTTGAAAAATAAATTATGAAGTATTGGTTATTGACCAAGTGTGAGGTCAAGACGGCTGGATATTGGCCAAGTTCTTTTTTTTGCGTGTTTATGTTTTCCATAAACTCGCAAAAAAAGAACGAGGCCAATATCAAGCCAGCTTCACCGAACAAGCTTGGTCAATAAAGGATTTATTATATGGCGTTTGGGAAAATATTTCTTGCGGGACACGGTGGGTAGTCCCGAGCGGCCAAGATAGCTCCATCTTGTCCGCTCGGGTAGCCAATCACAGCGCAGGATTTGATTCATCTTGCCCGCTCACGGAGCTAGCCATATAATAAAGGGTGTTATGAGACACTTGACCGATATGCGCTGTACGTAAGTATATAATTAATACTTTTACCCTTCGGTAACTGATTTGCAAGTAGCGCAGTGTGATAGGCGCTTACTCGCCAAGCGAGACTTCGAATCCTGGTGGAGATTTCTGATTATTTTCCCTTTTCTTCTTCATTGTTTTTTCTTTTTCTGTCAAGAAACCATTATCGAAAGGTGGCGTTTGTCTTTCCGTTTCTTGTGTTAAAAAAATCGTCTGGAGCCTTCAATCATTCGTTTATATCGATTGCTTTCGAACTCACAATATCACGTAGGTTTGTGAAGGAAAAACCACGAAGACTTTCCCTGAATCGAATCGCTAAGGAAGAACCATAAGTGTTTTCCTTACAAAGAAAAAATCGTTATGCCTTCTACCTCTATCTATCGAAAACAACTAACTTGACACGCTGCAAGCGACTGTAAAACGGCTTTAGACGGCTGATGTTCGAAACCCGGGGGGACTGTTATATGAAAAGGTCGGGTATGCTCGTCGTCTCGAGTACAAATCAAGGATTCCGGTCTTACTTTAGGGTATTGATGACGAAATGTCACCATTTTTAGCTGTCAAAGTATCCTTTAGGGTGAACTCGAAGACATAATAATAATTGGAACGCTTTCATTTAATTTCTGTTTTCAGGCTTGATTTCCGCTGATCTCTCGAGTACGCAAGTCCGGTCGACAAGTGCGCGCGGGATCCTTTCTTGAACAGTGGCTAGTAATCGAACCTATTCCGTTTTAAGTGGTATCTTTTAGGGTCTAATGAAGCTCAAGCAACGTCCACATTAGTCTCCCTTAGGAGTTAAATCCAAATTTCACGACGACCATCCCTTGCCTTTTCATAAGGGAGTTCCCCTCCGGGTTTCCAAATGTCTAACGGGAAGTGACCCAGTGAAGGAGTGAAAGAGTGATGTAGTGAAATCGTTTCACCACTACAACTTGGAAAATAATATTTTCCAAGTTAAAAAATGACTAATGATAAGATCAGCCCAATTCAATGCACCGGGCAAATTGAATTTCAATTTGAGAGGTTACAGTCAGTCAGTAGGTCAGTCAGTCAGCCAGCCAGCCAGTCAGTCAGCCAGTCAGCCAGTCAGCCATTCAGCCAGACAGCCATTCAGCCAGTCAGTCAGTCAGTCAGTCAGTCAGTCAGCCAGTCAGTCAGTCAGTCAATTAGCCAGCCCGCAAGCCAGTCAGCCAGTCAGCCAGTAAGTCAGTCAGTCAGTCAGTCAGTCAGTCAGTCAGTCAGCCAGTCAGCCAGTCAGCCAGTCAGCCAGCCAACCAGCCAGCCAGCCAGCCAGTAAGTCAGTCAGTCAGCTGAGTCAGTCAGTAATCAGTCAGTAATCAGTCAGTCGGTCAATCGGTCAGTCAGTCAGGGAGTCAGTCTTTCACTCAGTCAGTCAGTCAGTCAGTTATTGGAAGTGTCCCCGATTAGTCGGCCTCCGGGCTGACTAGAAGCTTCAGACACTTAAATAAAGTTTATTGATTGATTGATTCTGGATGATTTTTATTTTATCGTATTATAACCTGTATATTTTAATGTTTTTACTTGCATAAGTGGTCGGTGGGTTTGTCACTAGCTTCGTAGGGTCTTTAATACAGCAAAAGTTTGACAACAGAACCAAGGAGATTGATTGGACAAAGGCATTGGAAGCTGGACTCTATGGTGCAATTTCCTCACTTTATAGTGGTACTCCAGGTAAATCAGGTAACTTGTAGGACGTTTGAAGTAGAGGTTACCAAGTGAGGTGCGATACCCTCGAAGCTGAGTGTGACTTTCAACCGTTGTATGAAGCGAGTTCGTGTGCGTTAAAATCGTCCTTCGTTCTTTACAAACTATACTCGTGATTTTTATTGCTTACATCAAGCATTCAAACGAGGGGAATTTTATCGTTTTTACTCGTTTTCAAACTTGATGATTCTTGTTGTGTTGTTTTAATTCTCCTTTCTTCTTTTAAAACCAATATTCGATATTTCTATGATGATTAAACACACTGCTTGCAGTTATTTTCCTTTCCACTCGTAACTTCTTTTCCCACTGTATTACAATGCATCATGTGTAGCCCGCCTCAAAACATTATAACTCCCTACAACAGTACATAATTCCCTCCAGAAACATCGACTTGGACTTTAAACTACATGTAATCTGATCACGCGTCTTGGTTTGTTGTTTAAACAACAGTCATATGAAGAATTCGTCAGGTTTCAAGTCTGAAAAATTTGCTATTGTTACGATAAAAGTGCTTATTAATATCTGGATTCTCTTCATCGTGACCTCAACTCTAAATATTAATAGAAAAAAAAAAAAAATTTTCTGTCATTTTCAGAAGGATGTAGTGTGCTGATTGAAAAGGCTGTTTTCGATCTTTATGACAAGACCTTTAAAAACCTTCTTGTGGCGTTCACTGAAAACCTTCCCAGGCTTAAAAATTTCACCATCGAGTGGGTGCGCTCCTTGGATCCGGTGAGACGATAATCAAAATGTTAACTCTGTTTACCAGCTGTGGTACAATTCTGGTAATGTTAGTTTTGAGAATTTGGTAGTACATCAAGACAGTATTCCCTAGTGGATGGTTTAATGTAGTTTTGTATCGGAAGCAATGTTGAATAACTCAGTTACGAATTCTATAGTTTTCAGCATTCACAAATTCTAAACTTTAAATTTCTTTAAATTTCTAAAGAATCAATGTACGGAACGCGCACCTGTATTGGGTATCTCAAATTTTAATTTGTTTCTCCCTTCTGTAGAACGATATGATCGGTCCTCCAGGATACGGAGACGCGCGCTTTATTTCGCTTAAGACACCGCTGAACTACAAGATCAGATTTGAGAACGATCCTAATGCCACCGCCCCTGCACAGCACGTGATCAT